ATCCCAAAACTTAAAATCCACACGATATCCCAAAAAAATAAAACAAACACCCCCTAAATATATCTCTAAAACCGTCTTTCTCCGTTCTCTTCTTTAACCTGCTTCCCCCCAAAAATTTCTTCCAAATTCAAAAATCTCTCCCCCTCTAAAATCCCTAACCCCAATCTCTGAAACCCCTCATCTCAAACTCCCAAGAACCACCTCCTCTTCATCATCGCCGTCGTCTTCATACCCTCAGACCCCTCATCATCGTCGTCTCCATCCTCTTCATCACCATCCTCGTTTCCATCCCCTCAGCGACTGTCCCCATGACCGCTCCCTCTGGCACCTTCCTCTTCATCACCATCCTCGTTTCCATCCCCTCAGCGACTGTCCCCATGACCGCTCCCTCTGGCACCTTCGTCTTCACCACCGACGAGCCCATTTTCTTTGTGAGACTAAGGTTTCTCTCCCTCTCTCTTTTGACAGCTAAAAGAAACGTGCAATTTGTTAATTTTTACTTTCTATTACACTCTTAAATATTGTGTTTTTAACTTTTTTTTTGATCATAAGCTTTTCTCGATTAGTTAATTTGTGACATAAAGTTTACAAGTTTACATTTTGCAATTGACCAGTGAGTTTTCCTTTTAAAATATATCAGATTTTAAAGAACAACTTCAGATTTAAGGTTGGTTTTTGGTGAGAATTTTTCTTTGGGTTCTTTCATGATTTTGTGATGTTGATGAAAAAGAGAGGCAGGGAGATGAGATAATAAAACAGAAAGATGCAATTTGTTTCCCCAAAATCTAAGGAATAATTAAAAGCCTGATTTTCTTTGTGAGACTAAGGTTGTTGTCATTTTATTTCAGTACTATTGTTAGATTGTTGTATAGTTTATATAGAAACACTACAAATTTTTTTCTTAAATATTCTATCTATATTTAATGAAAAAAGATACTAACTTTTAGCGCAAATGTGGTTGTTGATGGGTTAATCGTGAATCTTGGTAAAGACACAAATATCACTTTGGTGATCTCTTTTAGTATAATTTGTCTGCCAAAATTTTTTTCGTAATTGCATTTGGAGGCAAAATACCACATTGATATCATTTACCAGGAAAATAATAAGGGGCTTGATTTGAAAATTAGATGAATATATCATTTCATTCGAGTTTGTGCAGGTCAAGAAGACTACAATAGGCTCAGGCCTCTTAGCTACAGAGGAGCTGATGTCTTCCACCTAGCATTCTCCCTCATCAGCAGGGCTAGTTTCAAGAATGTCAGCAAGAAAGTAAAGCTTGAATCCTTTTCCTCTAATATAATGTTATCAACTATAGAATGTCAGCAAGAAGACTATAACACTTGGTACAACTTTATCTTTGCTCCTGTATCGGTTCTTCATACTTTCTTAGTTGTCTCATCCAGTGATCGACAAGTAATTTCTGAAAAGTTATAAATTCTAATACAAGTTAAACTGAGTATAGTTCCCTGTTAGAGAGAATGGAATCTGTGAAATTTATTGGTTGCTATATAACTACTATGATGGCAGAGCATTCATCCTAGATTAAAAGTAACAAGGATATCTCATTAAGTATGAATATGTCATGTCTTGTCTCAAATATATCCATTTGGAGGATATGTGAATATATTGCAAACATAGACTAATTTAAAATAGGTTAAACTATACAACCCCCCCTAGGAACTTTCAGAGTTTTGTAGCAAAACCGCAATAACATAATGAGTAGAGATAGCAAGATGCTTCGGGGGTGGAGGAGTAGACTTAAAAGTCAATACTTTACGGATATAACCATTGATTGGAAGTTGATTCATCAGCTTGATAAGAGGATTTCCCCTTATAATTGGATGACTCTTATTATCGAGTGGGAGGGTGAGAAGAAGGTGAGTTATTTTTAATTCATTATATTACCACCGCATATAGTGAAAAATTACTTTATTTTGAAGGATAAATGTTTGATAGCATCGGCTAATCACGTTGCAAAGTTATATGATCACTTTCTGGGAGCTACTCACTACGCTCAGATCGAGTATAAATATATGTGTGAAAATCCGGTTAGATCAAAATATTAAAACTCAACTCATGTTACAAGTTTCACATTTTATTAGAAATAACTTGAAATTTGATTATTCACAGGACGCCTTGACTATGCCGTCAACTCTTCTTGCTAGAAGAGCATATACACCCCCCGAGGGCTATGATAAGGAGGAAAAGATGAAAAAAATTAAGAAAAGATGAAAAAAATTAAGGACATGCATGTAAGTATAAACTTGATTTCATATTTGCACACATACATTTATGAAGACATCTTCTTCATAAATTTCCTGCGTATGATGCTGGATATGCTCTTCTCGATGTTTTTTAAATTTTCATGTTTCTCGATGATATTCCATTTAAAATCCTTGAATACTGAATGTTTTATAATAATTCACAATTAAATACTAATATTAATATTTATAAAAAATCAATCAAGAGAAGATGTAGAAGTTTTCATATGCAGACAACTTTTATTTCTCAAAATTGTATAAGCTGTAAAATTTCCATACATAAATTTTATTATATCTACAGAAGTTGTATGGAATTTTTATATGCATGAAACTGGTTACTCAAATGTGTATAAATATGTGGAAATTCTCACATATGATATTTAAAATTTTATTTTATAAAATTTCTATGTTGAAGTATTTCTAAAATTTGCATATGCATGTATCAGATTTTAACCGAGTGTGTAAGCAAATAAGTACTACACATTTTCTATGAAATTAGATGAGTTCAATGGGAGAGGAGATTGTATTGCGCATGTTTTCAGGTGCTACTAAGACTTTACTCCATTTACTGTTCGTCATTGTCCAAGAATTTTATGCTTCGAAGAAAACCTCCATACCTCGAGGACCATCTGTCATTAGAGATTTACACAGGAACATCCACATGAGTAGGATATTGGGCGGATCAAGCTCAAATTGTGTTGATTATCGTAGGATACGTAGGGGACCATTGATAAATTTAGCAATATTGTTGCGAGAGGGAGGGATTCTGAAGGACACCATACATGTATTAGAAAATCTGTTGCTGGTAATAAATTATATAGATGAAAAGGGAGGGATTCTGAAGGACACCGTAGATCTTGCGCCAGCGCTGGAAGCCAGTGTTGTTGCAATAGTTGCGGACGACCTCTTTGTCGTCAAGGCCGCCGAGCGCTTCGGATTGTTGCTAAACATCCCAAACGGTTTAAACCATTTGCCGATTGCGTTTGGGATCTCCTAACAGTCCAAACGGTTCCAACCGTTTGGGTTTTGTTATCTCAAACGGTTTCAACCGTTTGGGCTATTTTCACTTGTCCAAACGGTTCTAATAACCTTTTGGACTGTTTTGTTTTGTACTAGTGAGAATAAACATGCCAATGCTGAATAGTTTCATAGGGAAATAAAAAGGAAGAAAAAACTGTTTCTCATTATGAACATTTAGTGCTTCTTGGTCCAGTACCTAACCAAATCGACAGTTGCCTAAGACTGGGATTAAAATAGCGAAATTTGAAAGTTATGCTTTTTCATCCCAACGCTTGCATGCTGCAAGCTTCTATTCAATTGAACACAAAGCAGATATCTCACCCTCGCATCATGCTCCTGCTCGGTCCTTTTAGAAAAAAATTGTTTTTTTCCCCAACAGACGCAATAAAATTGCCAACAACGAGGTGCCCCGTAAATCTAGAGGAAATAATAATTATAAAAACCCAAATGATAAGGAGAAAACAACAAAATTAAAAGGAAATTAATGATGTTGATCAAAATTTCAGGATATATAGGCTAAAAGAACTATCCGATCGAACAACAGAGACACTACAATATTATTTGCTAGCTATTCTGATTGATCTCCTGATAGCTTGGACTGCTTCGAACAAATCTCTGCTCTCTTTTAATTAAACCTTTGGTAATTAAAACAACCTTGATCAGAAGCCAATACATGCAACTAAAAAGATACCAACATGAGACGTCAACATGAAAATTAAGGGTTATGCTAGTCTAAAATCCACAGCTAATTAAACAGACGCCAACATGAAATAAAAACAATACGCGTATCCATCCACTGTTCACAGCATCAAGAAACTCTTCACAAACTGGTATGTATCACAAACGCATGTACACGTTGACAGCCAATGCGGAAGCAAACTGGTATTTACACTGAGACGAAGGGAGAAGGCTGTGGCGGAGCGGCCCAGTAGCCGTAGGGACTCGGAATCGGATGGTATCCCGCGGGAAAGCCACCACGGTAGGCAAACGGCGGCCCAGGAACAGGACCACAGCCTGGCGGAAAGACGCCACGATAAGCATACAGCCGAGGAGCACGACGAAAGGGCGCTAGAGGCGCACAACTCTGACGGCTCAAAGCGATGCTAGCCAGAGCTACAGGATTGAAGAGCATCACGATGTTCCCCGACTCCCTTTTCCCGTGTTCTTCGAATCCATAGAGTATCCCCGCATGTTTCCCCTGTTGACAGCCAATGCGGAAGCAAACTGGTATTTACACTGAGACGAAGGGAGAAGGCTGTGGCGGAGCGGCCCAGTAGCCGTAGGGACTCGGAATCGGATGGTATCCCGCGGGAAAGCCACCACGGTAGGCAAACGGCGGCCCAGGAACAGGACCACAGCCTGGCGGAAAGACGCCACGATAAGCATACAGCCGAGGAGCAGGCTGTCATGCCCTGCCAGATGCGAGCTCCCCGTCCACTCGATCTCCAGCACCCTCGAAAGCTTAACCAGGCCCACCTCAGAGAGAGACGCGTCGTACTCCTTCGTCATATGTTTGAGGTCGTAGACCCTCGTACCGAATAGTTTTCTCACCAATCTCAAGAAACCCGCCAGCGTGTCCGGCAGAGGCGTCTGACCGTAGACGATCTTGATCAGGTACGCGAGGTCGTACATGCCGTGGAAAGTGATCCACTTCAGCCCTTCGCCTCCCCTAAGCAGCGAGTTCTCCACCAGCCCCTTCGAGAGAACGTCCGCGCTGACCCCGTCCCTGAGATTCTTGCCGAAGTCAATCCCGCTCTTTTTCAGAAACTCTATCGAGGCTTCCGAGCAATCATCGACCCGAGGATCGAAGTCCTTCATGTTGAACTGCCAGGAGGCGTAGCTCTCTTCGTTAGTCAGGGTGATTCCCAGCTGTATCAGCTTCATCCTGTCGACGTTGTACTTGAGAGCGCTGTAGATTTCCTCTTCCCGCGGGGAGGCGACTGGAGGAAGCCCGGGAACTCGGCATCGAGGAAGACGAAGTTGCACGACTTCTTGCAGAGCTCCGATATGAAGCCCAGTTCTTGATGCAGATTGTGGCCCCAAACATCTCGAACTCGTTCCGAAACCATGGCCGCGATGTTGCGCGCGTGAATGATATTTAACCCTCCCTCTCTTCTCTCAGCTCTCTCTCTCTCTCTCTTTCTTCTCTATCAATTGGTTTCCGTCTCTCTGTTAGAATTAATGCGCTTTAGAGCTTTGCGTCAGTGTCATACAAACATGTATATATATATAGAGAGAGGGAGAGAGGGAGCGAGGGAGGGAGGCTTAATTTGGATATATGTCGGTAGTTTCCGTTTGTAATACGAGTTGGAGACGGATTAGGATAAGGATTTTCACCAGAAATTTAATTAGTGGCCGTTAAACTTAGTCCTAATCAGATCGGGTTTAAAATCTTCAATTGCAGCGTTTCCTATTTGTTAATTTGCCAACTCGAATCCTGATAGGTTAAGGAAAGGAATTGATTTTTCTCACTAGAACTGGGGCCTATATTGGGTTTTTGTCATCTTAGACCCCATATCTTCTTAATCCTATATTGGGCCCCTAGATACTTATTATTTATAAATTCCACCCGGCTTTTTGGATTGACACCAACAAACTATTAAGTTGTTGTCAATATATAGGACCCCTACTTCAAGCCAAGACGAAGATTTCAATATGGGTCCAATTCGGAAATTAAAGATTAAGGGCTGGATATAAATCAACAAGGATCTGGGGGTCTAATATGACAAAATACGTTTCGTTTAATTTTTGGAAGCGAGTTCACTTCAGATTGACTATTGCCAAAATAAGAGAAAACCCCAGTTTTTTAACCCTGGATCGTGATCAAATAACACTTCATAACTTTAAAAATATCAAAAGAACCCCCTTAAGTTTAGAGGGGTTGTTAGAAACCCCCCAATAAGTGTATGTAAGGAAACTCCCTAAATATCATTAATTAGAATTTTCACATGGGTTAGTAAGATTACACCTCGAAATATTTTTGCAAGTGAAAATTAAGATTCATGTTTCGAGGGCGGTTTATGAAAATATATTGAAGTTAAAAGGGTTTCCTTATAACATCTAAACTTAAAAATTCCGTCTTATATTTTTAAAGTTGTTGGGGATTATTTGATAATCACCCAAAGTTAGCCTTTTCTTTTCCTCTGGAAAACCTATCAAGTTATTTTAAATAAGACATCTTCAGGCAATTATTAAGATTTACGGGTCTTATATAGAAATTAAAGATTTAACGGTTTAATATAAAATTAACAAAGACTTGGGGTTGATATGACAAAAGAAATCCTTTTTTTTGTCATACGCGGAAATGAAAACCGCGTCTTGCTGCTGAAAGTGGGTGTTGTCCCCACGCCCCCACGTTCACATCTCCGATAGCTCAAATTTCAGGATCCACTTTATATTCAAAACAAAAAAAATTTACAATAATTAAAAGAAGGGGGTTAATACCCACTTTTAGTCAGGTATTAATTTAATACCTGACTAGCAACGAATTTTAATATAAACTCAATTAATTAACATTCTTTTAAAAGGAAAAAAATTAACAAAAATTATGGTTATAGCCCATGGAAATCGAAAATTTTTATTTACATACAACTAATTTACAATAATTCAAAACAAAAAAATTTACAGCCCATGAAAGTATATAATTAGGCACACAATTAATTTATATATTTATATTCATTCCAAAAGAACAAAAATTTACAAATATCGTAGGTTATGTAGCCCACAAAAATCACAATTTATATACGCACAATTAATTTATGTCTAAACACGAAGCTCATGGTCGCGTTTAGGCTCACAAACACGAAGCACGCGTTGGTTGGAGGATCGACTTTCTTGGAGTTGTGCCGAAGCTAAGTCTTCTCCTTCAGAGAGGGGACTGTATGAATAGTGTTACCCCTAGGGGAGACAGCCCTTTGATGAGTCGGTCACAACTGGAGCTTTAGTCTCTTTAGAAACTTTGTGGATCTTACGCATAGCCTTAGGGCTAAGGGATCCGGAGGAGATAGCCTCCTCAAACTTGGCTTGATCAAACTCTACCATGAGAGTTTCGACGGTTATTCCAGTGAGATGAACATCGAATTGCGCCACCACTTCTCCAAAGTCAAAGAAGCTCTATTTCATCAGCAATGGAGGAGATGAGTATGGGTACTGTTTCTGGGAACACGATGCACGCAAGGTGGTGTGTAGTCGTGACGTCGTGTTCCATGATGATGCAGTGAACAAGACCAAAGAGGTGAGTGGGAGTCAGTTATCTCCCTCTATTTTCCCAGATATTAAAGATAGTGAGGATGACAGTGAGATACCAGTCAGCATAGAAGATGAAGACTAAGAGAACATGTCGGATGCATAGCAACATGATTCACTAGAGCTGCCAATCGTAGTTCACAAAGCATCAAGAAATCCGAGGGTGCCAGAGAGGTACCTTTCCACCATGAATTATCTTCTCCTGACTAACAGTGGTGAGCCAAAGAGATATGAGGAGGTACAACAGACGGACAAAGCTTAGGACGAGTGGGAGTCTGCCATGGAGGAAGAAATAAAATTCTTGACGAAGAATGAGACTTGGGAGCTCATAAAGCTTCCAAGAGGACGAAAGACTCTTCACAATCGGTGGATTTATCGGGTCAAAGATGAAGCCAATAGACGGAGATGCTATAAGGTGATGTTTATAGTGAAGGGTATGGGCAGAAAGCAGGGATAGACTATTTTGACATTTTCACTCCCATCGTCAAGTTGACCACGATCTGAATTGTGCTGAGCATTCTGGCAGTTCGAGATCTCCATCTAGAGCAGATGGATGTGAAGATGACATTCCTTCATGGATATTTGGAGGAAAAGATCTATATGCATCAACCAGTGGGCTTCGAGGAACGAGATAAGGAAGGCCTCATATGTTGCCTACGCAAGAGCTTGTATGGCCTGAAGCAAGCTCCACGACATCGGTATATCAAGTTCGAGAACTTTATGGAGGAGAACAATTTTTTTTAAATGCGACACAGACCACTGCTACTTCATCAAGAGGTGTGGCGAATCCTATGTGATACTCTTAATTTATGTTGATGACATGTTAATTGCAGGATCCGACTTGGCCTGCATTAAAGAACTCAAGAGGCGTCTCTCCGAGTGCTTTGAGATGAAGGATCTAGGTCCAGCAAACTAGATTCTTAGGATGAGAATCATCAGAGACAGATCATCACGTAGGTCGAGGTTGTCTCAGAAGGCCTATATTAAGAAGATTCTTAAAAAGTTTGGCATGAAGAAAGCTAAACCGGTGGGCTCGTCGTTTGCTTGCCATTTCAAGCTATTGAAGACCCAAGCACCAGAGATTACTAAAGAGCATGAGTTCATGGCCAACATACCATATACATCTGTCGTTTGGAGTTTGATGTATGTGACCCGGTTCGTTGCATTCAAAGCATTTTCCTACACGAGATGAAAACTTGTTGTTAGATCGGGGATTAAATTTTTTGTTCATTTTGATAAGTCTAGAGATTCTTCTAGAGAGATGAGCCACTTCTCTAGAAAAATCAACTTCACTCTCCGACGACGAAGATGAGTTGTCACTAGCTCCCTTGAGAGCTATGGTCTTCAATTTTGGTGACGGCTCCTCAACTTCGCGTGATGACACTTCCTCCTTTTCCTTCCCCTTGAGCTTCTTCTCATGCACTTTGAGCTTTCCGATGAGGCTATCAAGAGCTAAGGTAGTGAGGTCATGAGCTTCCTCAATGGCCGTAGCCTTGGGCTCCCATGTCGGAGTCAAGGAGCGAAGTATCTTGTAGTTCATCTCTTGAATGGATAGTTGCTTATCTAGACCATGTAATTCATTGATGATATTAGTAAAACGAGAAAACATAGCATCAATGGATTCATTTGGAAGCATTTTAAATAGCTCATAATCATGCATAAGTCCACTAATCTTAGATTCCTTAACTTGGGGGGTTCCTTCATGTGTGACACATAATTTTACCCAAATTTCGTATGCGGTTGCACACGTGGAAACTCTATTATACTCATTAGGGGAAAGACCACAAATTAAGGCGTTCATAGCCTTAGCGTTCATAGCCTTTGACTAAAATTCTCCATCGGTCATGTTCCCGACTTTGGACTTTTCTTCATATTTCTCTTCTATGAGCTCTAGAATGTCAAGGTCTATGCAACGAAGGTAAATTCTCATCCTAGCCTTCCAATAAGCAAAATTAGTGCCGGTGAAGAGAGGTGGTCTAGTTGTGGATTGTCCTTCTAGCATATGCATATTCAAAGAGGCCTCCATTAGATCTTTTCTCTAAGGTTGTTAAACCAAAAACTGATATAGAGACCAAGCTCTGATACCAATTGAAGGACCCTAGAGGGGGGGTGATTAGGGTCAAGAGGCTCTAATATGCAATTTAAAACTCAGCACAAGCAAACCACAAAACAGAAGTGCAATCAAATAGAAAGAGATAGAGTTAGGAATCGTTATCCTTGTTTAACAGGCTCTGATGTCTCAGCAGGTTCTGAAGTAGAGGACGTGGTATCCATTGGTGCTAGTATCATTAGCATTTCGTCATAAGTTAATGACTTTAGTTTTTCTTCACTCGCATTTGGATATTGTAGCGCAAATTTGTCATAAATACTTTCTTGTATAGCCTTCATATCAGATCTTCTGGGATTTGATTTTATTCCATATTCTGGGCTATAGTCTGGAAGCAGAGAGCCTTTTCTTTCATTAAGATAGTTCGCAATATTCCATTTATCATACCATTTTACAGAAATACTTCTCGCAAAATAAGATGGTGTACCGTTAACACAATCCCAATCCCATTGCATAATCCAGGGCAGACCAAATTCCATAGATATTTGAAGCATATCTAGTGGAGATATATTTTTTCCTTGTTTTTTAAGGATTTCTTTTGGCATAATTTCTTTGATGGCTCCAAATTTAGCCCAGAAGGTTTCAATAAACCAATTTGGTAGACACATTTGATTCATAAATCGTATCCACCATGAATGCTTTCCCAGATGATTTTGAATGTACAGAACATGTTCCCAAGCAGCTTGATAGTCCCAGTAATTGTATTGTTGGGGACCAATTAGAGTTTTTTCTTTAAACTTTCTCGGAACATTGGGATTTCCATATGAGTTCCATTCATTTAATGGAATAATACGATATATTCTTAGCCGAGAGTAACTATATTCTTTACCTCGGTATCTATGATGAGCGAATGCACTTTCTGTTTCTTTAAGAATTTTCTCATAGTAGAGGGTAGTTTTACCAAACATGGACGGAATATAGTAATATTCCTTGGGAAGGAATTTTGCTGCCATTTCAATCGGTAAAAGAGTCTGATCAGACGTTTCGAGGATGACAAGTTTATCCAATGTTTTCTGATAAAATTGAGAATATGTTCCCTTATCGTCTTGTGTTAAGGGAGTAGAAGAAGATCTCTCTTTTTCATGTGAGAGAACCCTTTGGTAATGATATTTTGACAGTGCCATATCCTTGTAGAAATTCCCTGGAGAGGAAATCAGGTAAATTATTATTATCACCCTTAATAAACTCTATATCAAAATCAAACACAGTAAGGATAGCTTGCCATCTAGCAAATATTTGTTTAGATGCTAAGTTTTGAACATCTTTATTAATAACGTATTTGGCAGACATACATTCGATTCTGAGTAAGAATTTTTGGTTTAATAAATCGCTTTGAAATTTATTGATAGAAAGAACAATAGCAAGCATTTCCTTTTTTATTGTTGAATAATTTTTTCGAGTGTCATTCCAAGCACCAGAAGTAAATGCTACTAGAACATCTTTATTGTTAACTCTTTGCTTAAGAATCCCCCCGTAGCCAAAATCAGATGCATCTGTTTCAACTATTTTAAAAGCTGTAGGATCTGGAAGAGATAAACAAGGCAATGTTTTTACTTTAGCCTTTATCCTTTTGACCGCTTCAGAATGTCTTTCTGTCCATTCGATACAATCCTTTTTTAACCTGTCACTAAGAATTTTTCTATCATATGCAAGGTCTTTATAGAAATCAGAAACATAATTAAGACATCCTAGAAATCTTTGTAATTGCTTAGTGTCTTTTATCTCATCAGGAAATTTATCAGCAAAGGCAATGACTCTTTGGATAGGAGAAATAGTACCTTTGTTAATAGAATATCCTAAAAATTGTATTTTGGTTTGGAAGAGTTTTATTTTTCTAGCGGAGACAACTAAACCATTATCTTTAATGATTTTAAAGAAGATATGTAGATGTTTCCAATGTTGGTCGATATCTTTAGAAAAAACAAGAACATCATCAATGTAAACAATGGTGAAAGAGGTGTAGGGATTAAAAATTTCGTTCATTATTTTCTGGAATTCAGAGGGAGCATTTTTTAAGCCAAAAGGCATAACATTCCACTCATAATGACCGAAAGGGACAGTAAAGGCTGTTTTATAACGATCTTCTTCGGCAATTTGTACTTGCCAAAATCCTGATTTCATGTCAAACTTTGAAAATAATCTTGTTCCTTGTAACCTCTTCATTAGATCTTGTTTATTTGGTATAGGATATCTAATCCATTGTAAGACTTTGTTAAGAGGTTTATAATTGATAACCAATCTAGGAACTCCTCTTTCAAGTTCTGCAGCATTCTCAACATAAAAAGCTGCGCAACTCCAAGGAGAAGAGCTGGGTCTGATCAAGTTTTTCTTTTGCAGATCAGAAATCTCTTGCTTACATATTTCTAAAAGCCTCTGACTCATTTGTATTGGACGAGCTTTGGTAGGGATTTTATTTTCAGAAAAATCTTTTTCATATGGGAGGTTAACAACATGTTTTTTTCTAAACCAAAAAGCATGAGGGATCTCCGAACAAACTTCCTTTTCAAGTTTTTCTTGGAAAAGTTTTATCCTTTCAGTAAATTTTTCTTCATTAATTTGTTTTGCAATCTTTTCTAGTTTAATCTCATCAGAAATGTCTTGAAGGAATTTTTCTTTATAAGATAAAGATGAGACTAAATGATTAAGATAAGCTTCTTCAGGGGCATTGTTAAACTTGATAGTATATTTGAACCCATTATTATGAAAATGAAGGCCATTGTCATCAACGGAAAAGGGTTTGAGAAGATTAATGAAAGGAGTGCCAAGGATAATGCTTTGTTGTAAGTCTTTGACTAAGATAAAGGATGTTTTCAAACATAAACCTTGATTGCAAACATGAACATCAGAAAGTTTATATTCAATACTAAGACTATGTCCTCCTGCAGAAGAAAGGCTGTGGGTCGTTTTTTCAAAGTATTGAGAGGGAACAATACCTTCTCTAATACAATTTAGGTCTGCTCCAGTGTCAATTAAAGCAGTATCTCTGACAGTGAAGCTGGACTGAATGTTGAGAATAATATCACATTTCCATTTTTGATTTATATACTTTTCTACAGAATCAATATTATTAGAGCATTTTTTA